CTTCATTCCAGCGGCAATGCATTCCAAGTAAAAGTGGATCCTACAGCTCTGAGTGAAAGCCAATTCCATTATGGCCAAGTACTTGGTTATGACACTTCTGCTCCTGAACGAGGCCCCCTTTTCAGCATACCTGTTGCTGTTGTCAAACCTACAATACCCTCTCAAGGATTCATTCAATACAAAAATGTCGAATATGGTCCTGGTGATATTATCAGGCGTTTTGTTCAAGTGCCTGATGGCGCTACTAGTTGCGAACTTGTTATTAAAGCGCACGCTCCTGTTGACACTGCGCCTGCTAGATTTATCCTACACCTTTTGCAGCTTGTTCCCAAGCAAAATCAAAAGAAAAAGCAGACGTATAATTTCATGTTAGGTGCTGGTTCTTTTGGAAACCCTGACTCTGACGATCAAGTCATCAGAAAGCACTTTGCTGTTCGTGGAGGTTTTAATTTGGAAGTTGCCCTAGCTCAGTTCTGGTCTGGTCTTGGCCAGCACGCTGTTGATTTGAGCCTCAACTTCCATGGTGTTCAAATTGCCGGCAATCTTGCTAATGGACAAAGCACTCTTCACTTGGAGCCTCAAGTTACACGTTTAGACATATCAAGTCCTATTCGTAGAGAAGACGAGTTGAATATTAGCGTTTCTTTCAACAAGTTGCGCAGGTATATCCGTCCCTCTGAAGCTGTCATCTCCCCCATGCATCCTGATCGTAATATGCTACCAAACTCCAACTTGTTATACCAGCTTATCTTGACTTATAACTTCAAGATTGACGCTAGTACCACGATTACAGCTAAGTTCCCCACTGTGATGAATCAGCTGTATGAGCACTTTTTGGCCGGTGTTTTCGGAATCATATACGATGCCAACAAGCAAGTCGTAGGTCATCTTGACGTCTTTAGCCATGATATCAAGCTTAGTCAAAAGGGCGAATACACTATCATGCTTCAGCTGTCCACCGAAATGGAGTCTGCTTTGACCAAGCTAAAAGAATCTATTTTGGAACTGGATTCAAACACGAAGAGCACAACTTTTAATACATTCCAAACTATGGGTGATGTATTCACAAAAACTAGCTCAAACTACAGCAAGATCGTTTTAGAGCGCAGAGATGCCAATGTTTTTTACATTGCTGCACCTACAGGAAAAGATGCCATCCCCAAAGAAGCCAAACCTGGAGATGCGTTGGTTGGCAGACTGAACTTCCTTTCCAACGTTGACGGTGGGCAATACAATGCACTTTACATTATTCCTCCTGCTGTTATCGAACCATCGAATGACAAAAACAAGAAAGACAAAAAGCCCACGGATGAAGAACTTAACCAAAAGTTAAAGGACGCTGCTCGCGATTTGGAAATCTCGTACCTCAAGAAATTTAGCGCTGATTCTGAAGCTTACAAGGAACTCTTGAAGAATTTGGAAGCTAAATATCCTGAGGATGTTGTCTTTTTAGAAGCCAAGTTAAATGCTATATGGGCAGCTTCAGAAGGAAAATCCAATGTCGATTGTTTATTAAAGCCTGGTCAATTATCAAAGGAGCATTTGGAGGAAATCATCAAGATTTCCGAAAAGATCCTTGCCAAGTTTAATGAAAAGGAACTTTTGGAATTTTATGGTCGTAAGAAACCTGACGATGAGAACGAGCAGCAAAAAGAGCAACGCAAGGAGAACAATGATAAAAAGAAGCAGCTTACAAACGCTTTGAAGAATAAAGCAATGGCCTATGCTGCAGTTTTGGATAAAGATACGTATTGCGAAGACTTAGATGCTGTCGTTCGCTCTTTGCAACAATGGACATCTGATGATAGCTCTAGCAACCTGTCGTCTTTGCTTATCAAGGTTAAGCGGGACCGTGAAGCTGGACATCCTGGCTCTGCTCTCAAGTCTGTACGAAAATACATCGCTGATGCTTCACTTACCGCTGACACTGTAAAGGACATAAGCAAAGCTTGGGCTGCACGTAACGAGCTGTTGAGGGAACTTGGCTGGTCCCTTTGGGCTGAATATTATGACAAGTGGGACCTTATAGGGCAACCTCCTTATGGTTGGGCTTTATTTTAGTTATTTTCATCTCGTGAAGCATTTCTGCAAATTTTAATAAAAAAAAATGGTTATCATGACGAATAATGCTAGTAAATCTCCGACATTTGGGTTTTCAGAGCAAACTAAGAGGGAGTTGGCCTATTCAATTTTTCCCTTGTTTTTTTTAGTTGAAGAATTTACCTTTTAGATATTAAGTTGATTAAGTACTTTGTTTTTGTCGTGTTGATTAATGAAGTGACACATATACCGTATATGTGGATGTTAATAGGTTATATATATATATTTATCTAACATACTGCCAGATGTGATGGAGCACAATTATCTAGTAGTAAGGGTAGAATGCTGTATTATGTTAATGGACGGTTGGTGTATCTAATTGTTGACATTGCTATCAGGGTTATTACTTGCTATATAATATATGTATGTTGTGCCAGTGTCAAAGGGCGCAGCGTAACGTTATGTAAATATGATTTGTATAAAGTAATAAAGACTTTTCTGAATAAAACCAGATACAAAAGTGAAGACTTTTATTGGCATAAGACATGATCTCTATTTATACTAAAATATATCCCAATCAATGTTTATCCACATAACATCTGATGTTTGACAAGAAGTGTCAAACCTTATTAAATCACAGCATTTCCAGGACAGACCTATCTTTCTATTTTACATTAAAGAGAAGATTGGGTAGGATGTCTTCCCAACATCCCGCGATCTGATCTAGATGTATTCTTTGAATAAGCCTGGAACCTTGCAAGAGGTCCAATTACAACTTGTAGCTTATTCCTTCTTATTTGTAAAAGAATTACCAACAACTAATATCATGATCCGTGCATTATGACTAAGTTAGATATGACATATGTAGCCTTTATATGGATACAACACAGATCATATTTATATATCCTCTGCGCATAACAATTACACTCGACCTTTAGTAACGCATTTTTTAGTATAAACTTTATTTCAGCCAATTATCGCCTCTAAAACGCAAATTGTTGTAAAAAATTACCAAAAACGATAAAAAAATCTTTGAGTGTGATAAATATCAATGAAAATACAAAAGAATAAAAATCATCTTTCTTTCATCTCTTTGTTGGGTTAAAAAAGATAATAAAAAACCAAATGTTAACGAGATACGAAAACTTAAAGATACTTTATCATCTTTTTTAACCTAACAGGAAGTATGTAAAATGTTTTATATGAGATAAAAAGACTCCTTTATTAGGGGTATTCAAATAGCAAAATGATAAAAAAATTAAATTAAATAAAAAAAAAATTGAGCAATTTTATTGGGTAAATTTTAATTATTTTTTTTATTTTTCGCTTTTTTTAAGAAGACCGTTTTGCTTCTTCTTAAAATCTTCAATTAAATTAAAATAAAAACAAAATGTATGATTGGCCAGAACACCCTATACATCTAATCACGAAAAGGTTGTTGTCAAGACTAGGATCCTCGTTTGTCCTGTCCTCTCCACTCTGCTTCCATAAAACGTGGGCAGCAGGGTGTTGCTCAATCAGCAACTTGAGAATCCTTGCTGACATGACCGGCACTGTCCTGTGCGTGGCATTGACAGAACCAAATTAGGCTACCACCATACCAGCAATGATGCTGCCAGTGAGTTGCAACGCCTTGCCGTCAGCATGTCTCCTGTTGGATCAAAAAGATAATAAAAAAACCAAAGGTTAACGAGATACGAAAACTAAAGATACTGATGTGTCAATTTCCCAACCGGAAGTCAAACTCAAGTAAACTCAATCCTGAACACAATTCAGGAACATATCCCAATGGA